CACTGCTCTGATGGCAATCTGCACAGGATTACAAGGCACGTATTAAACTTTTAAATGCATGCGGTCGGTACCCCTTTGAATTTCAGATTCGCCAAAGCAAATGGTATCACCGCAGACCGTGGCAAAACACATCGGATTGCAAAGCCAGAACAAGCTGCTTTCCCTAATCCAATGCTATGTTAATGCAAAGCTCAGCAATGATGGATGGACTCATTAGTGCTGCAGTTATCGCCATCTGAACCAGGTGCCAAGACATATGGTTTAACAGATGTTCTAGCAAAAAGCTCTATACTCTGCACTGTGCGAGTGTCCAGTTAAACCGGACATCGATAAGACACTGAAAATCGTATTGGGCTTCTGGGAACCACAATTGTTCCCAGCTCAGGAAGCTGTTAAACACAGCACAATTATGCAAAAAACCCTATTGCTCTGATATCCCAATTAGATCCACAGAACAAATGCTGGACAATACATAAACTGTCTTCTGGAGTCTTTCTGTACCCAAATGTTATTTAGTCTACTCAGTTAATTCTATTTCTCTACTATATTAGTAAAAAAATGAAGCTTAAACCTATGGAAGGTTTCTCCAAAGAGAAATCTCCAAATCAAATGGGCAAACAGAGCCCCCATCCCAATCCTGCATTTTCATGTTTAGAATGCCCCGTGTGCACTATTCTTCAAACATTTAATACTTAACACACATCCATTCTGAGCACAGGATTACATGCAGAAGGGACTTATTTACTGAGGTAACTCCACTGGAATGCATGGCATTTCACAGGCAAATAAACAGAATGAAAAGAGGGTCCTGTTTATACTCATTCACCAAACCAATGTGCACAACACAGCAAGGTGCATCAAATGTTAATAAATGAAAATTTTTTTTATTCTTTAAATGTCTTTGCAAAGAAAGACAATTCATAGGTTTCAGGAAAAAAAAGAAAATCAGCAGTAAGTGGGCCAGAAGTGATTAATTATGCTGTCTTTACAAATTATAATAATTTCTTTAAGATTACATGCACACTTATATTCACAACCTGCAGGAAAGAATGTTTCAACAAGAACTTCTGCTAACTCCAGAAGCTTCTAAGTCAGAGTATACCAAAACATAATAGTGAAAAAGTTAGGTTACTGTCTTGGATTTGGGGACTCCAATCACATAACCCAGTGCGTGCAGTGGCACCAAACTACAGCTGTTGGTGTTTGACATTTGACAGTGGAAATTTTAAGAGGTGACAGAAAATACTGAGGCAAAAACCCTCACAGCATTACATTCTGAAGGGGGTGGAAGGCAAAAATGTTACTATGCACCAAGACTGAATGTATTTCAGAAACAACATCAATGCATACTTTTAAAAAAACAAACTAAGGACTTTGAAACTCTTTCAGAATTTGCTAATAATTTCAGGCCATAAAGAGAATCCTTCAGGTCCCAACTGTAAAAGATTTGATAGTAGATTAGGTTGAAAAGGTGAAGAACAAAAGAATTTGAGCGGCATTTTTGTCTTGCTCCCACACCCACTATTCACACTTTCACAAAAGGTGTGTTTCAGATGATCTTGTTCAACCAGCTAAATGTCTTTATCTGTATCAATATTTGTTCCTTATTAATGTAGCTGCAGCTTTTAAAAACGGCTGTTATCTTTACTGCTTATCTTTCAATGCCAGAGCTGTGACTGTTCCAGACCTTGGTCCACCGGGGCTGCAAAATACAGGGGTGGGAAGGAAGGATGTCAAAGGAGACCAGAGACCAGATACAATCTAAAAACAAACAAACAAGAGCAGAATCTGCAGCCGTGAAAGTCAGAAGAAGTTCAATTTTAATCCCTATCTGTTGGAAATGTTTTACACACATACATTTATAGAAAACAGAGTTGATGAAAATACTGTCATTACAGCAGCAAACACACAGGAAACAGTGTATTGAAATGCTGTGCCTATTTTTATCCACTTTAATTTTTAGGCCCATAAAGGCATGTGCACTTACCTATATATACACTGGGAAAACCATATGCACGGAAATGTGCACGCACACAGATCATCTAAGGTATGATCAGGGCTTTCCCCAGTACTAAAACAAAAATGAAGTTTACATAGGGTACTACAAGGAAACACAATACCAAGATCCCCACTTCTACTTCAGTTTAGGGTGTTACAATCTTTCCCTCTTCCCTGCTTCTAACCAAAAATACCAAACTTTTCTCTACAACCAAACTAAAAACCACACACCTAAACAAACAGTCATCCCCAACAATAAAAACCCAATTTGGGTCAAAATCCTTTTCAGTCCAATCACTTTCCTGAATTGACTTGCTGGCAAGCTGTAAAAGCTCCAGTGTCAGTACAAAGCAGGATCAAGAGGGTGAAGCTGAGACCATGGCAGCTCAGCCCAAGCCTGGCCAAAGGAGCAATGGGACTGCAGGACTCTGAACACAGAGCAGGGTGGCTGCAAATTTTTTCATGTGCTGCTGAAGTTACTTTAATCCTTCTCAAAACAGAGGGCTAGAAGAGCCAGGGAGCACTGGTAGAGTCTTGAACGAAATCTATGCCTGCACATTTCTACTACTTCAATGCAAGCCAATGAGATCTTAGATCACTTCAGATACAAAAAGCCTAGTGTCCCAAATTGTACCTTCGAACTTTCCTTATCAAAGAACGTGTTTTAATAGCAAATTGTTTGCTGCTTCCCCCCCACTCAAGGAAATAGTTTTTCCTCTTTCAATAAGGACATAACCAAAAGCTATTTTCTCTAACACAGTGTGCTTGGAAAGTGCCTTCTTCCCCACCACCGTCCCTTTATTTTTCATTTTTGCAATTCCCTTTTTTTTTTCCCCTCCAATGGACTTTCTTGTTATGAGAAAAATACATTCCTGGAATGTTTCAGCTGAAGGCTCTCAAAAACAATTACTTAGGCATCTGATTTGATCTTCCAGTTCTTCCTTTCAGGGTATTTGGGCTTTATGAATCTCTGGTTGGGTCAAGGGTTAAAGTGAACCTTTATGAAGTTACACTCCGGTGCCTCATGAGGCCCATACATATCCACCCCAGGTTTTAAGGAAAAAGGGTAACTTCACTATTAGTAGTCCACAAGAGTACGAGCTTCAACTGCGATCTAAAGAAGGTAATTCAGAGCGGGGAAGTTGTTGATTCACGTTTATATGGGGCGAGAAGGATGGAAGGGTGGAACGATGAGTGAGGAATAAAAGAATCACCTTTAAATTGATGAAAATTTTGCACTGTTTATGAAAAAACAAGAATGGGAACAGAAGTTCAAGTGTATAATTTTAGTAGCAAGGTATCTTCAAGAATATGAGGGCACTTCATAAGAACAAGCCAGCAGAGTTATAACCTTCAAAGTACCTTATCTTTCGCACTGTGAGAAATTACCACATCTGTGATCCACATCCACACACACATACAAAAACAAACCACCCATGAAGCATATGGAGGGACAAAACATATGTTTTCTGAGCTGATCTGGCTGCTAACTGGGCTTCTCAGGGGAGTGAAAGTTAGAAAGGATAATCTGTCAGAGTTATCTGACTCCAAGGAGTGAGCAATAGGGAAGATTTCCAGCTGGCTTTCTCTATCGGGTCTTTCTGACCCAGGATCAACTGAAAGTGGTGCTTCACAGGTTTGCTGGAATGCTGCTATTGCTATTGTCCTGTCTCTGACCCAGGGAAACCCAGCTCAGTTTCATTTTGTGTGCTTTGTGTGCTCTATTTGGCAAGTCTCTGAAATCAAATTCCTCTTTCTCAATGAACACATTATATATTTGCTGAATTTAAGTACATTACAACCAAAAGACATGGAGTACAAATCATTCCTACTGCTACGATACCTTTTCAATAAACACAATGCAGTTCCTACTACACACAGGCTCCTTTCTAATGTTGCAGCAAATTTGTCTAATAATACATTTTGCATATCAGATTTTTAATGTAAAATTTCTTAAAATATATCTCTTAAAATTTTATCACATGCCTATATTTAACAGTTAGTCAAGGTTATGAAAAGAAAAATACAACAGATTGAAGCAACTGATTATAGATCACTTCGAAGCACAACAGTAGCCAAAAAAATAGATATTTTAAAGTACTGAAAATATACATAAATACACATTTTAAACAAATAAAATTTTAGAGGACATATTCATAAACTATTCTGAAGGAATGTTGGTGATTAAGGTTTACATATAAACTGAAGAATGCACATAAAAGTACACATACAACTAAAGTGGGGGTTTTTTAATCCATATTAAGTGGCAAAATTTATTTTTTTAAGAGCAACTGGAAAGTTTGCCACCCTTCTACTTAATCAGTGGTCTCATAAGTAACCCCATTCCCACACTACAAAGGAAAAGCAGCTATTTTGGAGGGATGGTGGTAATCATTCTTTCTTTTTCTTCTTTTATAGTAAGAAGGGTTATTTTCTGGTTTTAGTAATCTCCTAGTTTCTGACATACATACTAATCACAACTACACACATGTAAAAGTTCTTCCTATTATGGAGACAGAGTAAGAGGACAAGGAGCAGTCCTTTTATGCTGTTCCATGATAAATGCTCCTGAGTAAAACTCACACACAAGTACAGCCATGATCCTCCAGCCACCTGCTTGGACAGATAATTTATACAATAAAATAACCCTCAAAAGTCATGACAGCTGTGTTGCGTTTGTGTTTTGGTAGATCCCGAATGCCAATTATCTGCATGCAATAATAATAAATTTTGATACAGAGGAGCTGATTTACAAGGAGAGGAGGCCCACAATGCCTTAAGGACCAATCTTACCACAGTGTCCACATCAATAGTTCTAATTTTTAACGCAAGTTTTTTAACATTGAAAAACTTATTACAAGTTTCTCCATTTAACAGAGATAAAATTGCATTTAAACTACATATTTTACATGCAGAAGAAAAAGGGCTTCAGAATTTAAACATTTCTCTTCCAGAAAGCAGCTTGTCCTCTAGCCAAACAGACTTGCATGACTTAGCCTTACCTGGAGCCATAACTTGTTATTCACTGCATCTCTCCCGGTAGCAATGCATTGAAATGTAGCATTCTGCCCTGCATTGACCTCTACATCTCCCAGCCTCAAAAAATGTGGAGATTTATCTGCAGAGGGGAAAAACAAAAATTACAAATAATGCTTATTATGAAAAAATAAAGGTGCCAGCAACATTATTATCTCCCTCAAGATCTCTATTATACAACCTTTGGCTGAAAAACAGAAACAGAAGAGAGAAAATGATTTGTTTCATCTCTGTTCGAGAAGAAAGAGTGCTTTCAGTCTTTTCCTTTCTCCCCTGGTGATTCTACTAACTTTATGTTATACATGTGTTATAATAAAGTCTTTTAAAAATCAAAGCTGAAAGGAGGAGATCAAATGCCAAAATGTCAGCAGCACTTTGCAAAAATTACCCCAAAGACTTTTGACTGTATGAAATCTAGCATACTGAGAAAAACCCAATTAGCAGGATACTGCTCAAGCAAATAGAGAGATACTATTCGTGCTATTTGCAATGCAACTCAGAGCTCTTGTTTTACGAAGTGAAATCATTCGTGCCATTGAATATAGTAATTTCAGGAGCTGACAAATCTATTTCCCACACTGACAAAGCCCCTAGGAAACCTCAGTGGCACAACCACCTGAAGGATTTATTAGACCTAAGAAAGCTGACAGGCACGTTTGAGGAATGGATATGTTACACAGCTCTTGCTCATCCCTTTCTCAAGAACTGCTAAGGGAAACAGTAGCTGAACTGTTATTTCTTTGTGCTCACCAGAAAAAAACCAACAACACACAACACACAGGAAAAAAACATTTTTTGGGTTGTAACAAAAAAAACACAAAATTGTGTTTTGTTACAAACAAAAAACAAAATTGTAACAAACTGGGCTTAAAAATCAGTAACAAAAAAGAGCTTATCTGAATACTGCAACATGCTGATAATCTGCCCTCATGGCTGTACCCAAGTGCCTTTTGTTTTAGGCTTAAAAAAAACCCAAACAAAACAAAACACAAAAAACAACGGAAGGGAGAAAAAAAAAGGAAGAAGAAGAAAAACATTTAAAAGCCAGATACTGAAGCCAAGCAGAGCTTTGCTAAGTACAGACATGAGATAGTTGGGCTGGCTAAAATATCAAAAGGTAATTCACTCTAATAACCGTAAGCTTGGTATAGAATCATAGAATCAAGGTTGGAAGACATAGAGAGGTATAATTTTAAAAGGTTTGGTCTAGAAGAAAATGAACTGTCTGTGAGTTTGCCATTGCAACTTTATTTTTTGCATAATTTTACAAAGGTGGGGGAGGGTACTGTTATATCTTGAACATTTCAGAAAGCAATTAAATCACTAGCCATGTGGTACATTACAATGAAATAACTTTTTAGAAAGGGCATGTGTAAGGAGAGGATCAGAAGAGCTGAGCAGAACCAGAGTGGCAAAAAAAATTGATAAGTGCCAGAAATGCTCAGTAACAATTTCTTCCTCAGAACCTTTTTATCTGTAGAATATTCTCATTATTGCAACTTGTGTTTGCATATGTGCAATTATTCATCAGCAGAGAAAGGCAAACATAAATGCCTGAAGTCTGTCCAAAAAAAAAAAAAAAAAAAAAAAAAAAAAAAAAAAAAAAAACCAACCAAAAAAACCCAAACGAAATGCAATTCCTCAGTAGTTAAATAGCCAGATGCCCGCTTTTTTTTTTCTTTAATTTTTCTCTTTTTATCCTACCTATTGTGTCTGGAAAAAAAAATTTTAAATATCAAAAAAGAACAAGGGCATGAAATCTCATAAACCTTCAACAAGAATCTGTCAATTCAGTTTTCTATAATTAGTGAGTATACACATTAACATCCATTTTGATTATGCACACCAACTATAGAATGTCTAAAAAGACACTGAAGAATTCCTGCTTTTTTATCCCTGTATACTTCTGGCAGACCAAGATTTTACCCAGGTAAAACACTATTGCGACACTACATTCCCTTCTGGAAGCTGCAACAAAAATAATGTTGAAAAAACAAAGAACATTGGTGATCAAGTGATGAAAACTGAGCAGTCCACAGCAATATCAAATATGTCCTGAAAAGACAGAGAAAAATGCAGCTCTTAATCATTACTTACCACAAGGGTAACTCAGGACCTGGATGTCATCAATGGCAATGTAGCCATTTCTGCCATCTGAGACTTCAGCTTCAAATATTACCTGTCAAAATGAAAGAAAAAATGTTTACAACACTCATTTCTACAGAATTCCCCCAGTGGCAAGCGTGTAGATATAAGACACATTGCCTTTTTCATTTAGTTGAAGTTCCTACAAGGTTTGACGACTGAATGGAATATTTATTACTCAACGTATTGCAGTTCTATACCATTTATATACATGACTTGCTTTGGATTTGCTGCTTACAGCACACCAGAAAAGCATGTTTATTACCTCAATTAATGGGATACTGCTTTCACTCTGCTAAATGGCCAAACATGAATCACTTCTGAAAAAAAAGCTATTACTTTCACACAGGTTCGGCATCACAGCACACAACTGATCAAGCAATTCTAACAAAATTTTTTCTGTTGTGGGGGTCACAATGCAGTCCATAGTCTCCTGTAACCTTCTGCAGCACAACCACAGAGGAAAATGCACAGCAGCACTAAGAGTGAGGCACTCCCCAGCGGCAATGAAAAGAACAGCTGTAGCATGAGATTTATGAGGTAGTCTAACTTCATTCTTCATTCTTGCGAGGCAATGGGGAAACTCTTGTGTGTGAAGAAAAAGAAGAGACTGCCTTTGCATCCAATGCTTTATCCCACCCCAAACAGGCAATAACAACAAAGAATTGCTCCTGGATTGCTCCAGAGCATGAAACTGGATTTTTCTACACAGGTACCAAAACATTGCCAACTGATCAGAAAAAAAAAAAAAATCTATTGTCAAGACTCGTGTTTCCTTGTATGGATGGGGAAAAAAAAATTAAGAAGAACATGGTGAAAGCAAAAGGAAAATAATTAGAAGGAAAGAAATAGATAATGAATAAATGCCTAAACTAAAAGGAAGTTTAGCGGAAAGATTGTCAGTTAATATTAAGTGTTATGATAACAACTTGCAGCTGTGATTACTCAAAATAAGTGCCTGTTGAGCTTTTCTGTGCAAGATGGGCTTAGAGCAAGTCAGCTGCTCTATACATAATCTTATCAAGTAGTTTAAATCTCTCATTCTTGGGGACAATGTAAGGGAGCACCAAAGGCAATGGAGTAACAACCCAGCATAGCCTGCAGTTAAACAGGGGAATGCTTTCCTCATCAAGCAGCGCTCTCAGGTCTTCTTACTGGGGAACCACACAGAACACTACTAGGCAGTAATGACCACTGCACTCTTCAGTCTCATGGGAGTCCTTGGAACAAGAAGCTGTCATTTACCTCTAGAACTCCTTCTGGACTTCCCATTCACAAAAATTACCCTCATCAGCAAGATACCTGAAATTTATGCAAATTGGCTCTGACCACTGCACTACACTTCTGCGTTCTTATGCTCCACTTAGTAAATTTCCTCAGCCTTACAACCCCACCCAGACATGAAGTGCCATTTGTCTTCCCACCAAAGAAGGCAGGGATCCAGGTAGTATGTTTATACTCAGAAATAATTCCAAAACCTCAACAAGGGAAAAATAGGGAAAATATCTAAGAAAAGGTCGATATGGGCATGTTCATGATGTGGTTCACAGCATCCCCGAACTTGTGCTTTGACTGCAGAAAGAGGAAGCCTGTGGCGCACACATTTCTTTTTCTTTTAATTTTATCACATGTAAACACAGTTGTTGCAAAACCCACTCCATTCCCTGCCTTCTCCTCCTCCTTGGCCAACAACAACTTGATGGAAATTAATTGAGTGTCTGGAGGTCCTACTTTCACTCCCTTGTCCAATGACCTCTCTTGACCAGTGACTGGCATTATCTGACAGTGTCCATCCACTCCTCAGGCATCTTCAGAGAGCTGGCACTTGTTCCCAGTAAGGAACATCAATATTAATATTTTCAATTATTTAATAATTTGGACAATTTGCATGGTCTGGAAGACAACTCATTTAGAAATAAATAATATATTTGAAGCTGTTCTGACAAACTGCTCTCCTTACAACACAATACAGCTCTAAAACATACACAAACTCCTAAAGCACATTGTTTCTCGAAGTCCAGTTAAGAAATTTGAGCATCAGTGTTAAGAACTAGACAAAATTTATACGTCGCTCTAACTGGGTTGTTATTAATCTATCTAGAAGTAACTTAGATCCAGTTCCCAAGGTAGCCTGACACACTTATATGGGTAAGTGTGAATTTCTCCTGTATGTTGATACTTTCCTACACTGGGGGCCAGAGGAGAGAAAGTTACTTTTCTTGGGACAGAGTTGGGCATTAGTTTACTAGAGTTTTTCTACTTCTGCCAGATTAATTTAAGCAATACCCATCCACCCACCAAGAGTAGGAAGTTTGCAAAAAATGAGAAAATCATAGGTAACAGTAAGATGAAGACAGGGAGGTCCATTAGAATAAAAAAAATCTACACAACAAAACAGAAAACATGACAAAATATGGAAAGGCAAAAAGTCTACAAAAAGTTATAAGGAGCAACATTTAAGAGGTAAGTAAAGGAAAAATACAGTGATTAAAAAGACAGAGATATTAGAGAGCTAAGACTTCATATATACAGTGCTAAATTTTTTTTTATTCATAACTGGAATAAATACACCTATGAAACTTTCATAACCATAGAAACAATATAGCAAAAGGTACAGCTCAGTTAAAAAATTCTCAGTTTTAATTTGATAACATCTATTCACATTTAAAATGGGAAATGGAAAAGGGAATTGCATATATAGATGAACACAGCAATTTAAAATGCTGACAAGTCAGACCAGAACCTCAGGTAGTTCTTTTCCTCAGATACACACACACTACAAAAAAAACAGACTGTTGAGGTATTCCTTTCACCAGAGAAGGCTTATCCTAATAAGATACCAGTGCTTTGCGAGTGAATCCTGCACTTCATCTGCCCTGCTGTTCAATTTACAGTCCTAGAAAGAATTACTTCAACACTTTGATTTTAGCTGAAAAATAATTCAGATTATCACAAACAGTAGTTGTCTGTGCAACTATAAATGTCCTTCCACTTATTACAATTTAATTGCATGCTCATCTAGTGCACTTCTGAGAGATGCTCACTTCCTTTAATGGAGGAGAGAGAGAAAAAGAGAGACTGTTTTCAGGGGATGAATTGGGCTGGCACAGAGCAGGGCTGTAGAGACAGCTATCCTGTCTCATTTTTACCAGTGATGCCACAGTGAACGAGAATGAGAAATGCTGAATACTTCAAGTAATTCAAATGTTACTCAAGGGAATTAGATTTGATCCCTGAATTTTCTACACAGTTCTAGGGTGATACTCAAATAGTTATTTACTTCCCCAAATAAAACTGCATATCCTTGTTTATGAAGTGCCTACATTCACATGCAAATGAAGACCCAGTGAGAGAACTCTCTGAACTGGATGCACTCCTACATATTTAGCCATCCCTAATGTATCTCTTGTCAATATATAAGACCATTTTCTCCCTAAAACCATGCAAGCTTTTAGTGCACACAGTATCATTTGGAAAAATCCATTGGTTTACTATTGATAGCATTAAGAGACATTTCCATTTGTCTGGTTTGTATGGGACTTCATTTAATGACCCAAATCAGTGACAAGTTGATCCCAGTCACCCTTCTACATTATTCACAGCTTTGTGGACCTCTCTTACATGTCCCCAAGTAATTTCATCTCAAATGTGAAGAGTATCAGATTGTTCAGTCAATCTCACATAAAAGCCATTCCCTTTTCTTTGATTATGCTCATCCTTCTCTCTAAAGCTCTTTCTAACTGCACTATATTCTTTGACGATAACGAGAGCAGAGCTGACACACGGTAATCAAAATGTGGGTGAGTCATAATTTATACAACAGCATAATATCATCATTTAATTTATATTGAACTTCTTTAATCATTCTTAACACTTGATTTGCTTTTTTTGACCATCACTGGGCACTATGATGACATTTTTATGAACCCCACAATCTCACTGAAGAGTGCCAATGGCAAGCTCCAATCAAGTTCATTGTTCCATGTGTGAAATTAAGATTTCATGCAGTATGCATTATTTTATATCTCATTATCGACACTAAAATGTGCCTTTCATTTTATTGTTCAATCACTCACAGTTGGTGATATCGTGATGGTCCTTCTACAGGATCTCACAATTACAAACTGTCCTTGCTGTTTCAAAGCAGCTTTCACCTACAAATGTCTATCCTCACACTGTTCTCTGGCACCCACTCTGGTACCATATGAACACGCTGAAAGGCACAAATCTCTATAGGGTGCTTTGGTGACTACTTCAAGATATATTGACAATTTATTTCTACCTTCTCTTTTTCCTCTTAAACAATTATATATCTATGGAAGTATCTCATACAATGGCAGCTTAGCTTCACTGCAGACTTGTGTAGAGGGATATTTGGAAACCTAGCTAGACTCCATCCATCACATCACCCTTACCTATATGCTTGTCAACCCCTAAAAGGCTCCAAGTTGGAAATTAAGTGTCTGATATGCAACACATGGAAAAAAAAAATCCACAAATAAAACCCAGGCCGTTTTGTTTTAGGCACTACAGAATAGCAATATATAGCAAAATATTGTAAATAGCTATATTAACTACCTTCACCAGACACGAGTTATATTAACCTCACCAGACATAAACCTTTAAAGCCGTTCATAAAAATACAAAAAGAAAACATTTCAACTTTTTTTGCTATTTCATGTACATCTTTTTCATTGATTAATTTTATTTTTTTGTGAAAGCACAGGAGCATGACTCCAGATATACTTTAACCTAGTACTTACACTAGAATTGATTGAGATTAAACAGCATATAGAAGCAAGTTTGATTTCTAGTAAAATAGTTTTCTGCATATGAAAAGCCATAAACAGCAAGACCAGTTATACATAAAACAGTAATGAATCCTATTCACTGAGAAGTTACTAGCTCTATCCATGCTTTTACAGTATTTAAGGCATTTTAATACACTAAATCAAAGGTTTTAATTACCAAGAAGCTAAAAATTAATATAAACATGAGAACAGTATCATATTACAAAAGAAACACTTAATGGAA